GGGGGGATTGGGGAGAAGGTTCCAGTATGCTCCTGGCAGGAAGGGGGATGCTTTGTTTTGAGGGGTTTTAAAAGCTGCGTGTTTAGGGGAAGATTTCAACAGAATATTCACCAGCTTTATGCTTATGTACCAAAATGTGGTTTATTCTCTTTTTTAAAAGTATTTTTTAAAAATATATTTTATTGATTTCTTAAAGAGAGAAAGGGAGAAGGACAGAGAGCTAGAAACATCGGATGAGAGAGAAACATTGACCAGCTGCCCCCTGCACACCCCACACCGGGGATGTGCCCGCAACCAACGCACATGCCCCTGACCGGAATCGAACCTGGGACCCTTCAATCTGCAGACCGACTCTCTATCCATTGAGCCAATCCGGTTTTGGCGAGGCTTATTCTCTTAACTTCCATCTGTCCTTGGGTATGGTTGGCAAATGGGACTAACTAGATTTCTGCTCTCTCTCTGAGTAGGGTGGTTTAAGCTAGTATTTACCCTCACTTACTCTTACATGTCCCTGGTTTAGGGAAGAGAGGATTTAATAGATGGCTGTAAACTGCTTGGCATCTAGATTTTCTAGATGGCTGCAAACTGCTGTTTAACTCTCTGTCTCAGTTTCCCTATTCTGCTTGTCTTGGCTTACTAGCCTGTCTCAAGACTGCTCACTGAATAATCTTTTTTTTTTTTTTTAAGATAAGTTTTTATTGAGGGAGAGGGAGAAACATCAATGATGAGAATCATTGATCAGCTGCCTTCTGCATACCTCCAACAAAAAATTGAGCCTGCAACCCAGGCATGTATCCTGACTGGGAATTGAACAGTAAACTCCTGGTTCATGGATTGATGCTGAACCACTGAACCACACTGGCCGGGCTGAATTAACATTTTTAAGATTACATAAACACAGTATTATGAAGCACAATTCTATTTGAGAAAAGTATTTGAAACCTACCAACAAATATGTAGGCTAATTTGCAAAAGTGTTAAGTACTGCCGAGACTGGTTTGGCTCAATGGATAGAGCGTCGGCTTGGGGATTGAAGGGTCCCAGATTCAATTCCGGTCAAGGGCATGTACCTTGGTTGCGGGCATATCCCCAATAGGGGGTGTGCAAGAGGCAGCTGATCGATGACTCTCATCGATGTTTCTAACTCTCTCCCTTCCTCTCTGTACAAAATCAATTAAATATATTTTTTAAAAAAGTATTAAGTACTAAAATATTGACCAGATTACTTTTGAGATATATCTACATGTAACAAGATATTATATCTCCTTTAAGGAAGACCAACATTTAGAGGTGCATGTAATTGCAACTACCCTAAATTAGGACTGTTTCATTCAGATTTCCGAGGTAAATTAATATAACTTTAAATACGCACTGCTATTAGATTAGGCACACTTTACCTACTATATGTTAAGTACCCTAAATAAATAAATTTGCTATTGGAAATGTTGGCAGCGGCAAGAACAGTGCCAGGTATTAGACCAGGGGGATCAGAGGGGGCCTCGGTTCAGAACCTCAGTACTTTGAATTCTACCTTGGAAAGAATTCACAGCCAAGACTCAAACTATAAGAGGATGTTTATTTAGAAAATCACAGAGAGGGTGGGCAGAGGTGGAAGAGAGTATAAGGGGAAAAAAGAAAAAAAAAAAGCTAAAGTTTAAAAACAAAACCAAAAAAAGTCACAGAAGTAGTAGAAGCAGCCTCAAGAAACAAGTTACAGAGGCAAAAGGGGCCTTTGGAGCATAGGAGAGAGAAAAATAAAGTTAAGGCTCCTGGAAGTAGGGGGAACAATGGGGAAAAGTGTAGGTACATCCTAAGGGCTTTTAAGGGCAGGGGATTTTAGGGGAGGTCCTAGAGGAGAATCCTATATAATAAAAGGCTAATATGCAAATTGACCAAACAGCAGACTGACCATCAGGGGGCAGATGCTCAGTGCAAGAGCTGCACCTGGTGGTCAGTGCACTCCCACAGTGGGGAACGCTGCTCTGCCAGAAGCCAAGCTCATGGCTGGTGAGTGCAACGGCAGTGCTAAGGATGTCTAACTCAGGGTTAGGCCCACCCCCAGACTTGGACTGCAAAAGGGCACAGGCCAGGCTGAGGGGGACCCCTCCCTCCCTGCCTCAGTGCACAAATTTCATACACCAGGCCTCTAGTCTCAATATAATATTCATTAGCTTTCCAGGTGTGTCCTTGGGGTGATCATTCAATGCAGCTGGTCCTGAGGTAGCCTGTGCTGTTGCTTGTCTGGTTTTGTTCTTTCCTGAGCCTGGAGCTGACACACAACTGAGACTTAGATGTATTTGATGCAGTTTGAACCTCAATGTCCTGAAGGCTTAATGCTTAAAGGCTATTCTCCAGCTCCCTTGTTCGTTCCCCCTCTAAGGGGATCTAACCCATGACTAGGAACATGACAAGAGTAGGAAAAAGCAGGGAATTCAAAACAAATTACAGCGGGGAAGGTAGGGAGATCTGTGGAAGATAAGAGATCAACCGAAGTACTTGTATACATGCATATAAGTACAATCAATGGACACACAACTCTGGGGAGCATGTATGGGATGGGGGGGGGGGGTGGCGCGCAATGGTGTATGTACAGAGATAATTTTAAAAAATTAAAAAAAAAAAAAAAAAACATGACCATCACTATGAAATGTTAAGGGATTGAAACTGTATGACAAAAGATATACTAGGGAAGGGAAGGTTACCCTGGGGGTGAGGACCTTGATTTCCCAGTTTTGCCCGTTTGCTAGGCACCTGCAGCTTTCCATACTGATAACCTTTCGTACCTTGCCTTTCTTCCTTGCTCTGATCTTGTCTACCTACCACAGAAAAATCTCCATTATCTTTTTCAAGGTTTTAATGTTAATATTTAAAATATTAATGTTGAAAATGATTGTTTTATCAGTTTTATCTGGATCTCAATAAAATATAATCTTCCTAACAATATAGACAAAGCCTTACTCAATTATTAAGTGAAACATTCTGGATAACAAACTACTGTAACCTTGTTCACCTATGTAAACAGCTTCTTCTAGCTTGGCCTCAGGCACCATTCTATATTTAAAGCTTCTTCCTCAATGGAAATTGAAAAGCAATTGGAAATATACTTTCAACTTTTAGTCTTTCTTCCTCTTTAAATCATGGTCTGAGCCATGCTTCTTTCCTTTAACGTATAAGTAAAATAAAATAAAATAAAAAGCATGACTTTATTCTACGTAAATATGCAGTAGCAATAGACAAATTGACTTGCAAAATGCCAGTCTCACAAATTAGAAAAACTGATATACCAAATTTGAGTATTGTTTCTTCCACACTTTTTTCAAGTGTTTCCCTTTCTTTTGTATTTGAGCCCCCATGTTCTTAGGGGCTGGCACTATATACTTGATTCATTTTGCATTTCTACTGTCTATTCCCCCACCCCCATCCAGCTTTAGACCACTTCTCTTCTTAGAAAACATCACTTCCTTTGTGTGTCCCCTGTAACATTTCTTTAGGCTTATATTTTTCCTACTATTTCTTCCAAAATGAGGTCACCACTCTTAGTGGCTCCTTTCATGAAAAAGAGGAAGCTTTCCTCAAATTTTGCATATATTAAATCTGTAAGTATTATTTTAAGAATCCACGGTAGTATAGAAATCACTTTGGGGGGAGCAAAAAGTAAACTCAAATTACTCTACACTTGCCATAAACATTGTTTTGTTCAACACACAGAAATTTTAAAGGGAGAAGTCTAAGTAAAGGGAAAAGATAACATTCTAAGGAAATAAGTGAATAAAAATCAACTGAGAAAAGAAAGATAAAGAATAGAAAGAAAAGACAACTTAAGGATTATAAAAGTTATATTTATTCACGATGCTACATTTATTGCATTCCCTTAGAAAAGTGGAGAACTGTTTATGTACCCAATTTGTACATATAAAACTTTATACAAATTATATGTAGCACATAAAGGCTTCTGGTACAGCTAAAATCCTGACACTACAATTTGGGTAATCCTGCTGTAGGGTCTCCAGTTTATCAAGTCTGTCCATAGAAAATTAAAAACTGGAATTACAGTCAGTCTTGCTGCTCACATGTAGAAATTATTTTAAAATATAATAAAATAAAATTTTAAATTCTCTAAAACTCAAAAAAGGTAAACTGGAAGGGGATACATTTCGTTACCAATTTCAGTTTAACAGTTTGACAAATTCACAACCTTATCTTGACTGGGAAAATAATCACCTTAGTTTTGACATTATCTTTCTAAGATGTGGCTGCTTTAGGAAGGTAATTTGTCAAAATTTCACCAAACAATTAAAAAAAATAATATTCTTCTTATAAAATGGTACAATAACACTTTAAGGAACCAGAAGATACTACATGTCTTTGGCTATACAACTAAAAGGCCATTTCCCAAAAGAATAGGGCATATTTACCTCACAACCAACTACAGAAACGAAGCATAACAGAAATATGCATAGAATATAATAACTTTTCTTGCCTTTTTCTCCTCATCTACCCATATAATAAGCAAGGAGAATGTAATTTATACCATCTTTCCAGATGAGACTAAATAGCACTACAAAGATGATACCCAAATTTCTGCAAAGGCAAAGTGAATTAAAACAATTACAGAACTAAGTGAAAACTGAAGGGACAAATGTCATTTGCACCTTTTTTTGTTTGCTTTTTTTAAGTCCTATGAGTGTAGAAACTATAGCTGGTAAACAAATAGGCACAATCTTCACATATGGAACTATAATAGAAAAATAAATCAAATGAAACATTTATTAATAAATGAAGCCTATTTTATTATTTCAAGTGTTAATGATAAAAAAAATTTCAGCACAGCTGTTGCATTTAAAAAAGTGAAACTACATACTATATTTCTAGCTCAGTAAACAGATGAACCCGATGTCTTTGAATGACAGAACAATTGAGCATTGTACAGTACATCTTATGAAGACCCGTAAATTAAAGAGCTACTGGTCTAAGTGAGTGATTATGAGACAAATGTGTCTTCATAGTTTCAGCTTCTTTTTCCTTCCTCGGCCATCAGGTGCTCCATCCATTTTACGTTTCTGTGTCTATAAACAAACAGAAGGATTACTTTTCATCACAAGACTATAGTACTTTACTAATACATCATGGTACTTTACTGACAAATGCTACAGAGTAACAGGTATTAGATGCTATTACCCAGAATCTTTACTCATTTTACAAATAAAAAATTTTTAATGCTAATAATGAAATAACTCACAAGAAGCAGGTAAATCAATACACCAAATATCTAAAATGCCTCTTACCAAAATGTAGCAGTAATAAAAAGTATTTTGTGAGATTTACATATATATCAGATATTATCCGGGAACATTTATTTATTCATGATTTTATGAACTATTAAGTAACAAGATGGCTTCTTTACCTTAAAAGTTTTGCTTTCACATTGCTAAGATACCAATCATTAGGATAAATAAATCAGGCTAATAGTGAAATTGTAAAGACACTGCTTTCCTAATATTTCTTTTTTTAAAAGTTAATGGAAACAAGTCTTTATTAAGTAATTTTTAATATCAGAAAAATAAAATGCTTATAATTTTCTTTACAGCAAATATATAAATATCAGTGCTTTGGCCATTTTAAGTTAATGCTAATATTTCTTTAAACACTCTAAATTATAACTTGTATTCCCCAAGGTCAAGGGTACACTCCTGGCATTCATACTTTCCAGATTTCAACAAATTCCCCATATTTATGAACTATCATCACAATGTGATTTCCCTCATAATGCAATCAAGTTTAATTTATACTTTAAGTGACCCAAGGCTATATAATTTACCAAAACCAAAAAAAAAACCTAACATCAATGATAACCAAGTAGTGTGCAAATTCTTAAAAAGAAAGAAGTGCTCAAATCTATATCTATATATATATATAAATATATATATATATAAGCTAATATGCAAAGTGGGAATTCAACCTGGAGTTCTATCGTTCACTATGATGTATGCTGACCACCAGGGAGTGGCATGGAACGAAGGGACACCCCAGCCAGCAGCTGGCAGCTGGAAGGCCCCAATTGGCCCTGATCATCGGCCAGGCCTAGGGATCCTACCCATGCACGAATTTTGTGCACTGAGTTTCTAGTATTTACATATTTGTGTCTACTTACTGAAGGCTTTGGTCCTCTTTTCTTTTTCTCTGCCTTCTCCTTTTCTTCTAGTTCCATATTTTCTCTTTCAATCAAGGTGATTAAGGTATTACACCTCCTTTGGAGCTCCTGAGTTGCAAACATAAATTTACATGGTATTTGTATTTTTCATTTATACCTTTCATGATTATAGTTAAAGTATGTTTTAACAGAGTAATATAAAATCAGTTACATACCCGCAATAAATATAAGAATAAAAAAGTGTTTGTAAATATTTTTATTTCATTATTTAAAGCCTTACTACTATTATTCTTCATAAACCATTCACTTAAGAATTAACAGTGAAAATGAATATTTCAAAATATAAGCAACATAGCTACTAAGAGTCTATATCTGAAAACTGTCATTTATATACAAACTTAGGTAATAGTGTATAATACATTTAAAAAAATTAAATATTTTATTTTATTGATTTCAGAAAGGAAGGGAGAGGGAGAGAGAAACATCAATGATGAGAGAGAATCATTGATCAGCCACTTCTTGCATATCCCCTACCAGGGATTGAACCAGCAACCTAGGCATGTGCTCTTGAGTGGAATCGAACCCAGAACCCTTCAGTCCACAGGCCAGTGCTCTATCCACTGAGTCAAACCAGCTAGGGTGATGGTGTGCATATTTGAGGGTCAAAAACTTAACTAGAGCCCTAGCTGGTTTGGCTCAGTGGATAGTGTTGGCCTGTGGACTGAAGGGTCCGGGGCATTGAGATACCTATGCCAGAATGTGTTACAGATGTGCTACAGTATGAATTCTCTTGGCTCTTAGGAAAGGATTACATCTCAACTATTTATAATAAGAGGCCATACTATTAATTTTTATGTGTGCCTTAACATAAAACATGACAGAAAGTTAATACAGTTTCAGACCATGGCATTGTAATGGTCAATCAATGTTACCCTATGTCTTGTTTTACTCAGCCGAAACCATGCTTTCTTATGACCCATATAAATGGTTCCTTCTTGAAAGGTCATAAGGTAGAGCTGTTAGCAACTAAATCTATATCCTGTAATTACTGTAACTACAATGATAATGCATTTGTACTTCAGGATTTCCCAAATTAGGGTTTCACTAAACAGCAGACCCTCTGTATGTTTACAAAGGGGAAAAATTCTTTGGTTATCAAACATGAAAAGAATGCACACTATCACACATCTTGAAGAGTGATAGTACATTTTAAATATACTGGAGGAAATTGTATTATAAAGATGTTTAAACTTTGTTTATCCCAATCTTTCCCAAACTTAAAACTATACAACTTTTGGGCATTATCATCAATAAAGTTAAGAGTCTAAAATATGTAAGAAAAAGACAATTTATCAAAGCTAAACTTTTCTGAATTCTAATTTTAAGTGATTAGAAACAAACTTCCAACAGAAACAGCCAGATACTGGGAATAAAAACAAAACCTAGCATTAAATCAGTACAAAAAGAGTATTTCACTACATTAATCTATTTTAAAATAATGCATACTTGGTTTTCTAGGAACGGATGTCATCTACAAAAGCAAAGTCAGAACAATGCAAATTTTAAACTGTAATAATCACATTCAGAAGTTGAAACTGATAGTGACATTTCCTCCTATTTAGAACATGATTACAATAAATATCTAAAGTTAGTCCTGCTCAGGCCAGTATAGAGCTCAGCCTGTGGATTGAAAGGTCCCAGGTTCGATTCTGGTCAAGGGCATTTGGTCGCAGGCTTGATCCCCCAGTTTGGGGGGGGTGCAGGAGGCAGCCAATCAGTATTTCTCTATTATCAATGTTTCCCTCTCTCTTCCTCTCTAAAATCAATAAAAATATATTTTTTAAAAAGTTAGTCCTATCATATATAATGATGTTAAAAGATCTATAATAATAAAGAATAGGACCCAATAAACTTAAATTACTGATGGTATTGGGCTTTTAACTGATTTAACCTATGATACCAACAATATTTTAACAAAATTTACCTTAAAGATGCAGAACCACAAGGAAGTTATCTTAGTTAGAGAATAGTAACCATTGGTGCATTACACCAGACCCAAGCACTCACCATTGCAGTTCTGGATTTAAGAAACCAGTCAAATCTGAACTGAGGAGAGTTGCGAATACATTGTCGCAGTTCATCATAAACATTTTCTTTGTCGAATCCAAGCTTATGAAGCATGCAGATCAGAAAACGATCCTCTTCTTCAGTATAGTTTTTTCCTTTGTTAGTACCATATGATATTCTCAGCTGATGAAAAGGTGCTTTGTACCGTCCAATCTAGCAAAGTCAGATTTTACATTATATAAAATCTAAATCCTATATAATCTGTATTTCAAATTCAGCTTTAGTAAAAGTAGCAATACTATATTTCAAACCAGAATTTTCTACCCATAACACCTCAACTGCATTATATCCTTTGTCCTAAACAATTTTAGTCGTTACTGTTCTAAAGAGAAACAGACTCTGATACTACGTAGGAAAGAGCTGATTGCCTCTGACCCAGATACAGCAACTGAAATCTGAGGAAAATTCAGTTGAAAGAATACCTGTAACATTGAATATTTTTCTCTGAAGAAAACTCTAATTTCAAATCATTCTTTTCTTTGTTACAAGTTACTTTAATTTTCAAACAGATAGGAGCTACTAACTACCACATTTATTAATGTGCAAAGTACCTTTGTATCTAGTGCTTTTTTGATACTAATTCTTCTTTGAATTCTTGCCTCTCCCCTTTCAATCTGAGCCATAATTTTTTCTATGTCCTGGAGCTCATTGCATCTTTCCCAAAACACAGCTGTAAAAGAATAAAAATTGAACAGATGAGATGGGTGGGAGGGAGAGAAATTGTTAGTATAAATGCTCTTATTTTATTTGCTAAGAAATATTTCCAGTTCTCACACATATAATACTGGAAAGTAAATAGGTATTTATAATTTCTCAGTTTCCTTAACTGTAAAAAAAATAAAGAGATAAATTGGATGATTTAAATATCTCCCAACTCTTCAATTTCTACTACTCTGAAATTCTTAGCAGACTCATTACAGCCCAACTACACATATTCACTTGACAATCCAACTGACTTTAGGAAACAAGTGTTTACCACTTGAGAAGGTATGGAGAGAGATAAAGTATAAATGACAGTGTATTTTTCAGCAACCTATTCTTACTTTCTTGGCTATAGCTATTTAGCTACGGTAAAAAAAAAAATTAAAAAAAAAGTATTATTTTAAAGAAGGGAATATTTTCTAACTCAGTTTTTAAGAAGTTGAGGCAAAATTTAGCTTATCAAAACACAGTAATTCAGAGTAAGAAAACCTGAACTTTCTAGCAGCTCTCAAAAAGCCTAAGAACATTCTTATACAGTGCGAGTTACCTGAATACTCAATAACTTCTTCTGGAGTTTTTCCTTCTACTTCTCTTGCTATATTTTCAATATCGTCACGACCCCACTTCTCATTAGCTTTGATAAACTGGTTAAAATCTCTTTTATTCCAATTGGTAAATCCCTTCAAAGCAACAGAAACAATATTTAATCACAGCACAATGAATTTAGAAGGATGCTATTACATTTTATTAATGCTTGTAAGTATTACAGAAAATATTAATTTTTACTTTTTCCTCATCTTTTTGTTATTATATATATCCTCATCTGTGGCTATTTTTCCTACTGCTTTTTAGAGAGTGAAAGGGAGGTAGGGGGAGAGAGAAACATCAATGTGAGATACATCTATTGGTTGCCTCGTGCATGCATACACTGACCAGGCTGAGGATCTAATCTGCAACCAAGGTATGTGCCCCTTGACTGTGAATTTAACCTGTGAACCCTTGGTGCCAAGAGTAAATGCTCTAGCCACTCAGACTCCCTCCCCACCTCACCCCATCCAGGGCTCTAGTTTTTCTTTCTTTAAATTAAATTAAATTAAATTAAATTAAATTAAATTAAATGTTTTAAAGTGGTAACCTTTTATGTACACATATATTGCACAAATACCCAGTCTAACTGGAAGAGAGTAAGAAATGCTGCATGTAAAGGTAACATTTTTGCTGAGCTCTGACAGATTAGGAGTTCATTGGAAAAAATGAACATAGCTTAAAGAGCAGACATAAAAAAAGGGAAAATGAAGCTTTAATGTTAGATTAAGGCCAGATTCTGAATGACTTTTATTGAACTCTAAAGGACAATAAGCAAAAATGTACCAAGCAATCATATCTAATAAAGGCAGAATATGCAAATAGACCATAACTCCGTGACAACAGATGGAGGCGCCACAGCCAGTAAGGAGGAGATATGCAAATTGATGCAACAAAGTAAGAGGCAGAAGGCAGCTCAGGCCAGAGCAAAGGCGGTGTGCCAGCAGCCAGGGGAAGGAAGGCCTATTCTTATACAAATCTTCGTGCATTGGACCTCAGTATATCTATATAAAACCCTAATATTCAAATAGACTGAACTGTATAACAACCAAACAACTGAACAACCGATCACTATGACATACACTGACCACCAGGGAGCACATGCGTAACATAGTGAGCATTGACAGGAGGAGGCAGAGTACAAAACATGGTAGGCATCAGCCAAAGCGCAATCGTGGAGCAGGTGAGTGGGGGCGCCAGACCAAGGCAGGGCACCAGTCACTGTCATTGGGGTGAGCCTCTGATGGTCACTGAAAATTCTTTGCTCCCACACACTGCAGTTCCACCCAGCACTCGCATCCGCTGCTAGTGCCAGAGCCACTGCTTGCACCACTACAGGCATCAGCCCTGCTGTCACCTGCAGCCAGCGCTAGAGCTGCCACTCACACCCACTGCCAGCGCCAAGTGCTCAGCGCCAGTCCCTATTGCTCGGTACCATCAGCCAGTGTGAGGGGTGGCTTCTGCACCTCCCCCTGCTCCTGAAGGGCGACTGGAGGACAGCTGCTGCTTGTACCAACTGACAGCGTCAGGCCCGCTTGCACCCACTGCTGGTGCTGGACCCAATCACTCTGTGACATCAGTGGGTGTGAGTGGGGCTGGCACCATCAGTGCGGGTGCCAGTGGGGCTGGCACCAACAGTGTGTGGGAATGACGGTAGCTGGAATGGGCCTGCTGGCAGGCAGGGGACTGGGGGCTGCAGAAGGAGGGGCTGGGTGGGGGCGCGGAGGATGGGTAGAGACCCATCCCTGTGCTCACCGTAGCCTTGCAGCCCACAGTACCTTTCCAGGTGCACAGATTTGTGCACTGGGCCCCTAGTGATGTATAACTGACAATTATGACTTAGCAATGTGGAAGATTCACAAGAAAGAAAAGATGAGAACACTAGAGAAAAGGTAATCAAAAGGACATCCATTTAACTAAGGCTGGTGCAAATCTAAATTCTTTTCAACTACCTTAACAAGTGACAATCAAAATATAGCCTTAATGCATATGCCGTTTTATCATTTCCAATTGCTCCACTTTGAAACAAAACTTGTACTTTTGTTCAGGAAGTTTTTCTATATTTTAGCTGCAATTACAGTTTGGACCTAGGAGCATGTCCATGCAGCCATGCAGCATCCACTTATTTTGCTGCCATTTTTAATCCCCAAAACTTGTACTCCTTTGTATATCCCAACACAGTACCTTACAAAACAACAGTTATTAAATTTTGTATTGACTGAAGACTGTACCTGTGTTAGAAGCTTCTCTTTTTCTTCTAACTCTTCATCATTAAGGGGTTCAGCTTCATCAATTTTAAGCTGTTCCTCTTTTTGTGCCTGTGCTGCATTTGGTAGGTCAGGATTTCGAGGTACCTAAAAAATGTAATTTTTCTATGTCACCAAGCAGTAAATTTTACAAAAAATGTGATAGACTAATAAACTCTTAAACTAAATGACATTTTAATCCAATCATGAAAAAAAAAAAAAATACCGAAAGCTTATCTTTATTTATTAGAGACCCGGTGCACACACAAAGTTTGTGCCCTGGGCCTGCACCCTCTCCAATCTGGGACATCCCTCTCATAATCCTGGACTGCTGGTTCCTAACCACTTACCTGCCGGCCTACCTGATTGCCCCTAACCGTTTCTGCCTGCCACCCCAATCACTCCCAAACCACTCCCCTGCCAGCCTAATGGCCCCCAACTGCCCTCTCCTGCAAGCCTGATCTCACCCCCAATTTCCCTCCCTGCCAGCCTGATTGCCCCAAAAGCCTCTGCCTGCCTGATCACCCTAATTGCCCTCCCCTGCAGGCCTGATCTTGCCCCCAACTGCCCTCCTCTGCCAGCCAATTTGGTTCCGATTGGTCAGTTTCTATAGTCAGTGTCAAAAGCTCCGCCTCCTAGGCAACCATTGGCTCCTCACAGTTGACCCAGATTTGGTTCTGATTTGTCAGTTTCTATGCCAGTCAGCGTCTTTGGACCTATCAACGGGGCCTGATCAGAAAGGCAGGGCTGATCAGCAGCCCTGGTGGAGGCCTGGAGAGAAATGGAGGCTTGGCTGTTGACCAGACCCAGAGCTAAAAGAGAGAGGCAAGTGCTGATCAATAGCTGCCATGGAGGCTATGGATCAAACCCTGCATCTCTCTTTAGGCCTCTCTCTGGGCATGATTCGCAGTCCCCTCAGCAGTCCGTTGCTGGATCACCGTGCCTGTAGCCATAGCAGTCAGTGCTAGGTCTCCGTGGCAACCTAACGCTGAGTGCAGGACTGACTTCTGGTTGGTCAAGCCTCCTTCTTATTGTGGATGTGATGGACCCAGCGTTTTTATATATTAAGTTCAAAACAAACCAGATTAGTTATGAACAAAGCGTTATTTGTTATTACCTTGTACCCAATTGTTTTTCTGTAATACAGAATTTCTTTTTCCAATAATTCAAATAAACGTGGAGGAAAGAACTGGAAATCCTGAACATTGGGTTGTTTTGGAGGTCGAGGAGCCTTAAAGAAAAAAAAAATTGTATTGTCCATAAAGAATAAACTATTTTGCTTTAAATCAATCTCTAATCATCTTTATTCCATAAACTATGACAACCAATTTTTCAAGCAAGAGAATTCATATTTTAATACAATTGAAATAATGAAATTTAAATCATAGATTCAAAATCAATTTTCAGAAAACTTTTTCACAATTAAAAACTGACCAAGGCCTATAAGAAATCACACAAAATGTAAATTCCCAATTAGTTTTTTTTGGTAAGAATAGAAGAAGAGTCCTGCCAGTGTGGCTCAGTGGTTGAACCTTGACCCATGAACCAAAAGGGAGGGTTTGATTCCCAGTCAGAGCACCTGCCTGGGTTGCAGGCTCGGTCTCCAGTAGGGAGCATGCAGGAAGGAGGCAGCTGATCTACGATTCTCTCCCAATATTGATGTTTCTATCTCTCTCTCTCCCTTTCCTTTTCTCTTCAAAAGCAGTGAAAACATTATCAAAAAAAAAAAAAAAAAAAAAAAAGAAGAGGAGAAAAAAATGATTCACATTTCCAATATCTTTCAGTTTTTTTGCTTTGTCAACTCACCTTGGGTGCTTTAGGTTCACTCACACGAAGAGCTTCCCTGAAATAGGCATCAACGGCGTAGTTGGCTTTTCTTTCTCGTTTAGGTGGTTCAATCCATTCTGTGAATGCAATCTAGCAGATGAAAAACAACTCAAATCACAAACTTTTTATTATATCTAGTTGTATATCTTACAGAAATGCTAGCCACATTGTGTACATCATTTAGATCAGTGGTTACCAATTTTTCGAACCTCACGGACCACCAGTTGATTTAGACTACTGCTTGCAAATGGAAAGACATTCATAAAATCCTGGACTACAAGCTCTACAAGAACAGGGACTGTGATATTTTGTCCAATTCTGTAATTAACACGTAGGATAATGTCTTGTTAAGAGCACAGGCTATTCAGTATTTTTTGACCAAATTAATAATTATGTACAGTAGGGCAAAAACAGGCCACAAAATGTATGCTACAACTCAAATTAGGGGGGAAAAATGTAGATATATATTTAGCCTAGACAATATTCAGAGAATATTATGTCTAAATGTTAATAAATTTACAACTAACATTGAAAATTCCAAGTTTCAAGTAAAATAAAGCCTTAAAGTCAGCAAAGCCTCTTTCTAAATTACCTTTTGTTTTTCTCTATAATCTTCCCCTTCGAAGTTATAAACACTCGACTCTGTATCCATTGTAAAGTTTCTAAGTGAGCTTTCACCCATCTTGGAGAGTTTTTCATTCATCTCTGCTGTCTACGGTACAAAAGAAACACCTTTTAAGATTAAGAATTTAAAAAGCAGAACTATGGTCAAAGGGGATTATGCTTTACAGCACATAAAAGCTTTTATGGAAATAACTATCTATAATTCACATAACAATTATTTCCTCAGTTTGGGTTTAAAATATTTCACATATTAAAAACATAATCATTTAATCTGTATCTCACCTTCTTTGCACCTCTTTCCAAAATACCATCAATATCCTCATCAGTAATCTCACTCTCTTTTGAAGCAAAAACATGTGTTGCCCCATGTCTAATCATTTGAAGCATTTCATCTTTCCCAATTTTGTTCAGATTCTGATCCACAAGTCTTCCTGGCGGGGGGGAAAAATGTTGTATAATGTTAACTTTATTTTACTGGGGGGGGAAATGTTGTATAATGTTAACTTTATTTTACTGGAAACCTGAAATTTTAAATGTCAGATCTAATACCATTCATTTGCTTCAAATATCAATAATTTCATATGTCACATATTTTTCATTTTTATATAAAATTTAAAGCCAAATTTTCGGTTGTAAAGCTTTGAAATGTTTCTAAACCTATTTATGTATTATGTAACGAAGCCTGTTTTATATTCAATAAAATATATTCTTTTACTGGCTGAATAATAGTAATTTGAAATATGTAAAATTGAAATTATTAGCAAGATTTAAAAAAGATCAACAGATGAAAACATTATAAACACAAGAAGTTTCTGAAAGCAGAAAGTGTTAATACTAAAACTCCCAAATCAGCTTTTTCTATTTAGAATGGTAGAATACAAAAAAACCTTCAAATCTCCAAATTTTACATAAGGACCAAAATATACAACCATCAATTTCTGAAAACTCCCCAATCTTAAGAACTAAAACTGTTGAAAGTTTATCTTAATCACAGAAAAAAATAAACCTCAGAAAATTAATATCTCCAACTTTAAGTTGTGTGCTTTTCACTACATTATGAAAAGCACACAACTTAAAAGTTAAGAATTTTGCCAACTATATAATTTGTGTTTTCAAAAATATAGCATTAAAGCAAAACAAAATACTTCATAGAATTGTTTTCAACCTCAAGGGCAACTCACATATAATTATACAAATTAGTATTTATACTCCAACTAAACTGTAAGAAGTAGATAAAGATCCAAGTTGTTTTCTGCAAGTTCATTAACTACCTGTATCATGATTTTAATTCCCTAACAGAACGCACACCAAATATCTGGACTTTTAATGTTAGAATATACTAGACAGTAGTCTCCCTTATTCGGGAGGGAATTTGTTTCAAGTCCCCCAGTGGATGCCTGAAATCACATATAGTACCGAATCCTCCATATACTATTTTTTTCCCTATACATACAAACCTATGATAAAGTTTAATTTATAAATAAGGCACAATAAGAAATTAACAATAGCTATTAATAAAGAACAATTAGAATATATTTATAATAAAAGTTAGGTGAATATGGTCTCTCTCTGATAACCAAAACCGCTACCAAGTGACTAATGGGCAGGTAGCCTATACCAGCAAGCATGTCAAACTCAAAGGCTAACATCGGCCACATAAACAAGGTATATGGCCCATGGGAGAGTTTGACATGCTTGCTATACAGTGAACAAAGGGATCATTCATATCCCAAGTGTGACAAGTGGGATATTTCATTCACTACATTATGAAAAGCACACAACTTAAAAGTTAAGAACTTTTTCCCCCCCTGGAAATAGCTCTTAAGGATTTTCAGACTGTGGATGACTATGGATAACAAAACCACACAAAGCAAAACTGTGGATAGAGGGGAATTATTTTATCCACAAAGCATTTATCTTTGGATTAAAACCTATCACACTGCTGTCAAAAATGTCCTTAGGCTTATGGAAACTACTTCCTTGTGAGGGAGCTTTTCAGACAAAAAGGGTTTCCGGGGGTTCTCCTATTTTTGATTATGTCCCTAAGTCCACAAGACAGTAGCAGAGGTATGCACCTGACTAACAAAGCTAATGGCCAAAAAATGCCCCAGTAAATAACTTTAAAAAATAAAACAGATTTTCTATGTTGACTGTAAAGGAATTCATGTTATTTTAATATAAAAGGAATGCATGTTATATTAAGTTAGAATATAACACAGAAGTTCCTAGAGATTTTCCTAATTACACACTTCACTCTAATAGTTAATATAGTTCCTGAACCCATGTCTGAGTCACTTTCTAGCTGTATAAAACGGTGGACAAGTGACTCACTCCTACCTGATGCCAACCTCAATCTACATAAGGACTAAAGGAGATAACGGATATAAAGACTGCTTGGCACAAAGCAAGACTCAATGTTAAAACTATTACTAACAAAAACAACTAGAAACAAGCAATCATTTATTGTCTTCAGGTATTCAGATGTGTGACCAACACTATGGCTGGCATTATGAGACAGCAGACATGTGACATTTAAATGGAAATTAGAGACTGGTTGACAAAACCAAGACACATACATTATCAGTGAACATGTTAACAGTGTACCTCAGTTTTTCAGACAGAAAAAAAATATGCTCATGATGCATTATAAGAAGGAAATTAACTAATGTCAGTTTAAAGGTATGGAGAATTTTTTTCCCCCCATTTTGGTTCATAGGTTGACGCTTAACCACTGAGCCATGCCTGCCAGGCTTTTTTATTTTGGCATTTTATATGTCTCATCATCAACAATAGCTTCATGAAAACATAAATCTCTTCCTTAAAATTAAAAGCTGATCTGCAGTAAGAATTTGAAATTTCCTTCAATTAAAAATAAAAATTTCACCAGGACCGGTTTGGCTCAGTGTATAGAGCGTCAACCTGCAGATTGAAAGGTCCCGGGTTTGATTCCGGGCAAGGGCATGTACCTTGGTTGCAGGCACATCCCCAGTGGGGGGTGTGCAAGAGGCAGCTGATCGATGATTCTCTCTCATCGATGTTTCTAACTCTCTATCCCTCTCTCTTCTTCTCTGTGAAAAATCAATAGAATATATTTAAAAAAATAAATAAATAAAAATTTCACTTTCCTGTAGTCCTATTTCCATAAATGTTTATTCCACATCTCCCTCTCACTAAGAACACTGGTCAGTTTCATTCACCAGTGTACTGTCAGCGCTAAGAACAGTACCTGGCATCTGCTGGGAGCCAAATAAATAGTTGCAGACTAGACAAAGAGTATTAATAATTAGTTTCTTTGAGTTTCATTTTTATTTATGTACATTATCCCCCTAAATCCTTAAAAATAACTAAATAGTAGTTAACTTTATCCTGATTTATTAGATAAAAAAACAGGCTCAGCTGGTATAAAAAAATTACTAACTGGCAATCAATATTCAAATGTAAACCTTTCAGAGCCCAAATTTTTCCCTTCAGCAAAACTAAGGCTTACTATTTCTGGCTGCTAGCTTGAGTCAATAAATGTTTAATGAGAATCCAAGATGGCTGCACAGGTAAACACCTAGCCACAGCCACACACAACAATTTCAATAAAATACAACTAAAATAAAATGGACATCACCCAGAACTACAGGAAAGTCGACTGACTGGAAATTCTACAACGAGAAGCAAGGAGAAAACCAGAAGGAAGAGTGGAGGAGCTGGAAAAGCCTAAGGTACGGAGACACGCAGCGCGCGCAGAGACAATGGAGCTGGAGAGGAGGGGGAGGCTGAGTGCCTGGCTGGCATTCCCTAGCGGGAAGGAGATAAACACTCTGGACTGTGCTGAACCCCAGACCCGACAGCACTGAACCTCAGTTCTAGGCCAGCCCCTGGGAACCCAGTCTCAAACAGAGGGAGCTGGGCTGTCAGGTGGAACCCCGGGGGAGCTGCGAAAGGCAGAGCCCCCCGAGGAGTGCACATTGCGCGCAGAGAAGGCACAGTTGGCTTCTGTGCCGCGGGATTGCTTTGGCGGGAAGGAGAAAAAAGCTCCAGACTTCTGAACGCCACCTCCAACTCCACTTCCAACTAAACTGAACCCCAGTTCCGGCTCATTGGGGGAGAGCCTAGACTATTTGGTAGCAGGTGAAAATCAAGGGCACCTTTCTCTCAGAGGTGCATGCAGCGAATACTGAAGGGCCCTGGGGAATACTGAGACTCAGGAGCCGCATAGGGCGGGGCTGACGGAAGCCAAGGCTGCATGCTCCACCCTGAAACTCCGCCCCATCAGGGAGGCTGCGAAAATGCCGAGACAACGAAACAGATCACAAACGAAAGAAATGGAGGACAAAAAGCAACTGGATATAGAGTTCAAATCTACGCTTATAAGGTTTTTCAAGAATTTCCTAGAAAAGGTTGATAAGACCTATGAGGATATGAAAAGGGACCAACTAGAATTAATAAGGCATCAACAAGAAATAAAGATTACATTGTCTGAAATAAAAAATATTATACAGAGTCCTAAAAACAGAATGGAAGATTGTAAGAATCAAGTCAAAGATTTGGAACATAAAGAGCCAGAAGATACTCCTCCGCAGAAGCAAGAAGGTAAGAGAATCCAGAAAATTGAAGATAATGTAAGAAACCTCTGGGACAACTTCAAGTGAACCAACATCAGAATTATGGGGGTCCCAGAAGATGAGAGAGAGCAAGATATCGAAAACATACTGAAAGAAATAGTGACAGAAAACTTCCCCCACCTGGTGAAAGAATTAGACTTACAAGTCTAGAAAGCACACAGAACTCCAAACAAAAGGAATCCAAAAAGGACCACACCAAGACAAATCATAATTAAAATTCCAAGAGCAAAAGACAAAGAGAGAATATTAAAAGCAGCAAGAGCAAAGCAGGTAGTTACTTATAAAGGAGCACCTATATGACTGTCAGCTGATTTCTCAACAGAAACCATGCCAGCCAGACAGGAATGGTAAGAAATATTCAAGGTGATGAATAGTAAGAACCTACAGCCCAAAATACTCTACCCAGCAAAGCTATCACTCAGAATCAAAGGTCAGATAAAGAGCTTCACTAATAAAAAACAGCTAAAGGAGTTCATCATCACCAAACTAGAATTATATGAATTGCTGAAGGGGGTTCTTTCGGAAGAGAAAGTAAATAAAGATAAAAATTATGAACAACAAATACCTAACTATCAACAAGTGAATCTAAAAACCAAGAAAATTAAAAAAAAAATCTGATGAACAATATTAACTGGTGAATATAATAGAATCAGAGGTATGGAAGGGGAATGAACTGACGATTCTTGGGGAAAATGGGAGAGGAGGATGTGGGAAGAGACTGAACATAAACTGTGCAACTATGGATGAGGACAATGGGGGGTGGGAAAAGGGCAAAGGGTGGGGTGGGAACCTCGTGGAGGAGAGCAATGGAGGGAGGGGGGAGAAAGAGGAACATTTGTAATAATATGAACAATGAAGATTTTAAAAAATATTAAGTAAATAAATAAATAAATAAATGTTTAACAACAGGAATCTCCTTCAAAATCCAGGGAAAAAACATCCATCAATACAACTTGGTAAATTTTTTCAAGGTTCTAAGGCTCACCTTGTTGAATGACTATTGAATCCAGCCTGAGTTTCATCTCAGCACGTTCCACTATTCTTTCTTCTACAGTGTTATCAGTTATAAAGCGGAACACTCTGACAGTCTTGGTTTGCCCAATTCTATGTGCTCGGTCCTAGGGAAATTACCATATATTTTGAAGAAAGTAAAATTTCACATTAACAACATTTGAAAAATGTGTGAATACTAAGAAACAAAATTTAAATATTCAAGCAAAAACTTTTAAAAATTAGTAACAAAAAACTATATTAAAAATAGATTCATAGTATGTTACATTTCTTAAATTCGCAGTTTCTTAGTTTCAATCAAAGTAATTGGTTGTCTCACAAGGAAAATTTAGAAGGTATGGAACACATCATAGCTGCAGAATCTGTGAGAACTATCAGATTAATTTTTACTAGATTATACTGAGATAAAATACACATAATGTCTCAAGGCAGTAAGTAACTATAGTTTCTAAGGTTGATAGTTTATTAAAAATCATTTTCAAAATGTTTTTCTACCTAAATCAAATATAAATTTTCACTGCTATGAACTCTACAAACAATGTAAAAATCCCAGTCTGGTAAGTTCAACAAACCACAATCCTATCAAATATCCCATCTTATTGCTTAACCTTCCCAGCCACCCTTATGAAGAATATAGAATGAAAATGACTAACACCAGAGATTTAGCAGTTGGGTTTATGTTCACCAATATCATGGGTCAAGTCTATAGCAATATCAGTCTTAAGAATTTGTCAAGTTTTCTATTTAATCTACAGATCAAAATATCATTCTTTCTCAAAAAAGAATATTCCTGATCTGGCCAAGGTGTTCCCACACATGGGCCTAAATTTTAAGTTTGTAGTTCACAAAACCCATTTCCTATCCTTGTAAAGCACAACTATATGATTGTTTAGCCATACCCTTGCAGTCAATTATGCTATGTGACTAGTTCTGGCCAAGGAATATTAGGGCACTTTCAGGTCTGACCCATAACAAATTTTCCTCAGCTCTCTCTCTTCTCCCTCTGTCATCAGAATGCAAGCACAGAGCAGGACTCCAAGGTCCTAAGATATGGCAAAGCTAAAAATAGAAATACAGATGGTCCCACATTTACACTGGTTTGACGATTTTCTGACTTTACAAAGTAGAAACCAGGTAGGCTAAACTATTGTTTGGCAGATTAAATGCATTTTCAACTTACAGTATTTTAAACTTAATGAGATTATGTTACAAGAACGTAATTCCACTGTAAGTCGAAGAGCATGTGTACACTGATATAGATGGAAGAGGAATTGTAAAGAATCACTATAGGAAAATAACATTCTTTTTGGTTACATCACTGGCATTTGTAGATTATTAGATTGCTCTAACTAAAAAATCTGTAAGCACAAAATAATAAATTTATTTATTTCTTACCATAGCTTGGAGATCTACTTGGGGATTCCAATCTGAATCATACAAAATTACAACATCAGCAGTAGCAAGATTGATGCCAAGACCACCAGCACGTGTGCTTAACATGAAAACAAACTTTGTGCTGTTTGGTTCATTATATGCATTGATGGAATCCTATACACATAAAATAAAACAAATGTCAGACAACTGTTTTATCTGATATTTATTTTTTATCTCCCCTTCCTGAATTTTACTCACTTGTCTCTCATCATGGGGTGTCTGCCCATCCAATCTGCAGTACTCATAATTTCTCCACATGCAGTAATCCTCCAAAATGTCCAATACTCTTGTCATCTGACTGAAGATTAGTACACGTGAACCTATTGATGAACATAATAGCATATTATCATAAAAAAAAACACACACACACAACAAAAAACATCTTTTAAAATTTAAAGCTAGACAATTACTCCTTAATTCTAAGTTACCTACTTAGTTACAAGAAAAACTACACATTATTTATTATCTGAGTCAGTCACTCCTCACATTTTTCCCATTATGACATAAATAGAAAAACGTAACATTTGTACAGCACACACTAAGGTAAATAGAAAAGGGTATATGTGTCTGCCCTGGAAAGTCTTGCCATCTCAAAGGCTGAATCATTACCTTTAAGTCAAACATATAGGGTGGGACAAAAGTTGTTAGAGAAAGGGAGGAGAGAAACAGTGATGTAAGAGTGAAACATCAATTGACTGTTTTTGATAGTTAATATCATATAGTAGTCATCTATTGGTTTAACTGTAAAATACAGAGAAAATGTGGCTCTTGTTTAAATATCATGACATGTACCAAGAGGTGGCTGATTCGATTCCCAGTCAGGACACATGTCCAGGTTGTGCGTGCAGGAGGCAACTGATGGATGATATTTCTATCATAGATGTTTCTATCTCCCCTGTCCCTTCCTCTCTCTCTAAAACCAATAAAAACATATATTTTAAAAAATAATAAAAACAAATGGAGAAATCTGAAATCTGACAGGAGACAAGCAGGTACAATATAGATAAAAACAAGTTTTACCATGAGTTTATAATTGTTAAAGCTGGACCCATACGAAGTTTGCTCTAAATTCATGTAATTTAAATATACCTAGACACATACCATATACTCATTTTGATGTTGTAATTAAAACTGGATCCATATACATAATATTTAAGTAATTGAAAAACAATACCACAAACACACCATCACTGTGTACCCGAGTATCTAGGAATTGTGAATAGGTGGGGAGAGCATTCTTGGCATTTTATAACACAAAGTTGCTACTTCTGGGAAAACATATAAAATCTGAGAACTCTTCCCCCCAAATCCAGGAAGTATGGTTGCCCTAACTCCTGATACTTTCTAAACAACTCAAAGCCTATAATTTGGGAAAAGATGGAGTTCAGATAACGAATAGAAGTTTTTAAATATTCTACACTTCAACTTTAGGAAATACCTTTTCATGTAGTGCTCCTTATTTTAAAATTTGAATTTTTAAAAAGTTTTCATTACTTTTTTTTTTTTTAATATTTTATTGATTTTACACAGAGAGGAATTGAGAGGGACAGAGAGTTAGAAACGTCGATGAGAGAGAAACACCGACCAGTTGCCTCCTGCACACCCCTCACTGGGGATGTGCCCGCAACCGAGGTACATGCCCTTGACCAGAATCAAACCCAGGACCCTTCAGTCCGCAGGCCGACGCTCCATCCACTGAGCCAAACCGGTCCCGGCTCATTACTTCTTTTTTGAAAAACAAACAAACTGACTTTTAGAGAGGAAGGGAGGAGAGAAAGAAACATCAATATGAAGTGAAACATTGAACGGCTGCCTTCTGTATACCACCTACCGGGGATCGAAGCATATGCCCTAACCTGGAATCGAACTGGATGACACCCAACCAACTGAGCCATACCAGCCAGGGCAGGTCTCGTTACTTCTTATTATGATACAAATCACAGGTACCTTGTTCTTTTAGTTTAGGAAGCAGCTTGTCTAGCACTACCATCTTGCCACTGTTGGTGACCAAATGCATATCTGTTGTATAAGGTGGACCAGGCTCCGCTCCATCAAAGAGGTATGGGTGATTACAGCACTTCCTCAATTGCATCAGGATGTTCAGTAACCTCATTTTGTCCATTTTCCCTGCAGAGTTCAGAATGTCTATATCCTTCATCAATATCCGAGTATACCTATTGGTAGAAAAATACATTGAGAGGGCTCAAATGTTCCCTGATCAGTTCCTGCCACTTTACATATTAAATCACCTTCCCTACCTCAATAAAACAAAACAAACAAACAAAAACAACCTGTAAAAAACCATCCATCAACTTCTAAAGTGAGGTTAGGAATTTACCATACGTAATCTCTTTCTTTTTTCTTATTTTTCTCTATTGCCCTCAGTGTTCTCATGTCCACACTTGTGCTTTGGGCACCGAGGCCCAAAATAGTATAAATTCATCCCTTGGGATAAATTAATACAGTATAATACCACATTTTAAAAATAATTAATAAACAAAACTAACAACCTAAATTGAAACATGGTTTTAATTTTAAGTCTTTTCTAAGAGAAGAGTCATATCCATTGTAGCTAATACAGCATTTGGGTACGAACACTACTTTGAGGAGGGATGAAAAATCATGAGGTAAGGCATGAGGATGAGCACAGAGGAATACAACCTGACTTAAATATAAATAAAAGTACATGGAAGAGGTCATACAATCTGGTCATAGGCCAGATTGTACTAGGAAAAAGCCTTGAATATACACTAAATATTTAGACATTATCCTGCAGGACAGAGCAATCTGTCTAAATACCAAAGTTTCAGGACGTTGAAACCTCAACAAAATAAGTTGAATAACCTACGCAATCTATGCTTAACAATACAATACAGGGCACAAAATATTATTAAAGGCAGTCCATTTCACCACAGTTCTAATATAGTTTATCAGTATGCTTCGCTCTGTGGTTGGCAAATTACAGCTTGTGAGCTACCTGTGCATGTGGCTCTTTGGCACCTTGAGTGTGACTCTTCCACAAAATACCAAGGCCTGGGTGAGTCTATTTTGAAAAGTGGTGTTAGAAGAAGTTTAAGTTTAAAAAATTTGGCTCTCAAAAAAAATTTCAATCGTTGTACCATTGATATCTGGCTGTTGATTAATGAGTTTGCCGACCACTGGCATAGCACTGACTCATGTTTTAGTTCTGTACTTTAGAGTCATACAAGATAAGCCTATATCTTTGCTACCTTATAAAGGCCTTTCAAAAGTTTTGAGGATATTTAAGATGTCCTACCTTCTATGATGGTTTTCCCATTAACACACCCATTTCTTTAAATTACAGCTTTTCATTATGTTTCCTAAATACTCCAGCCCCTTGTAAATACCTATCAATATTAAGTACAGAATTGAATATACCAAGATATGGTATAACCAGTGAAGAACAGGGTGGCTAATTATACCCTGCCCTTAAACATTACCACTTATATTTTACCCTGTTTCCCCGAAAATAAGACAGTGTCTTATATTAATTTTTGCTCCCAAAGATGCGCTAGGTCTTATTTCAGGGGATGTCTTTATTTTTCCATGAAGAAGAATACGGTACACATTTATTGTTAAATGAAAATAAAGGAAATTTATTACCTGTATACAGTATGGTAGTATGGTAGTTGTCAACACAAACCAGACAAACTATGAATCCTACAGTATCAAGAATTTACTTTTATTCAATGACAATCATGTCATCATCTTCTGGAACATCATCATAACAATCCAATTCCTGAATTTCCTGGTGAATTTCTTGTGACTCCATTTCTTTCAGAATCAGTGGACCAAATCTCTCGTTTAGCCTGGGAGGCCTTATTTTCGGGGGATGCCTTATATTTCACTCAGAAGGAAACCTGTAAGTAGGTCTTATTTTCGGAGGATGTCTTACTTTCGGGGAAACACGGTACTAGAGGCCTGGTGCACAAATTTGTGCACAGATGGGGCCCCTCAGGGTGGCCTGCGGGCATTATCTGAAACCCACAGTCCAATGCTGCCTGCAGCTACCTGCTACTCACACTCATCCTGGCCTCCCTGCACCTGTCAGTGGGATCACGCCCAATCAGTCCCATCGGGAGAGGCTCATTTCACCGAAGCAGTGCTCGCTAGTTATGAGCCCCACATCTGGCACCCTCCCAAGGAGAGTGGCCTGTGGGATCAGGCCAAAACCAGCTCTCTGACATCCCCAAGGGGTCCTGGATTGCAAGGGGGCACAGGCTAGGTCAAGGAATCCCACCAGTGCACAATTGGGGGTGGGGAGGGACCATTGGAGGGCTCCAGGGAATGTCCAGCCCATCTCGCTCAGTCCCCATCAGCTGGACCTGAGCAGCAAGCTAACCTCCCAGTTGGGGCATCGGCCCCCTGGTGGTCAGTGCATGTCATAGTGAGTGGTTGAGCCGCCTTAGCATATCATTAGCATGTTACACTTTGATTAAACAGTCGACTGGTGTCACTGGACGACCAGACAATTAGCATATTAGGTCTTTATATTACATATTACATATATATATATATATATATATATATATATATATATATATATATATATATATCTGATGTGTTAAGGTTTTAGTATCTTTTTGTGCAGTTAGCACAAATTGTTGGTTCAAGCTGAGCTTTCTATCATACACACACACACACACACACACAAATTAATACTAAGTTAAAGGTTTCTCCCTTTTTGGATTTCATATACCCATAAAACTTTGGGGGAAGAGAAACAGCTTACGTACAAGGTTTTTGAGATTTTTTATTCTGTCCTATGTAAGTGTTTTAAAAATTAGCCACCATGTTTCATCACTATAATTTCACAAAAAGACATTTTATCCTGCCTAAAATAAGACATCAACAAAGAATGGAATATTTTAAATTAATGTAGCTTTATGGAGTAAAAAAAAGAAATGCATTTTTCTCATATCTGTACAAATAATCTGAAACTTCATCAGAGACTAGCATCAATCCATGACCCAGAATCTATAACCTATTAAGTTAATTATGTGTCTCATGTCTGTGCAACCAAAGTTTCCCCTTTAAAAAAAACTAGTAAAGGACTTTATATTGTATCTCTATTCAATAAATCCCAAGTTCAATTTTCAGATTCATAAACTTCCCATCCTGATTCCATCATCCAATAGTTCTAAGACTTTGCATCAAACATTTGATTGGCAAGCCCAGTATTATATGACCAGAAAACTCTTCATGATGAGTTCAATCCAGCCAACAGAAATACCTGGAAGTCATAAATTAGGAAAACAAAATACAAATAACAATTAGTGAAAAATCAATAGTGATATCACATACCATTCCCTTTGCATTTTGCTGAGGCCCACATAGATTTTTACTTCTTTTTTGGGGGGCAAACTCTTTTCAACATCAGCTTTAATTCGACGAAGGAGGAATGGACGCAAAACCTTTAAAGAATAAAAACAACAGATGGCCTTATCTGTAACCAAAGTATTTAATTTCAGGATCTCAAAATTGCCCATTAAGTACATGGAAAAGAAACTTATCTATTTAAATATCAAGTGAGTTTTAGGATTTCTCCCTTCCAAATATATAATAATTTATTAGTGAGCTCCTGAAGGGTAATACAATATTATTACTTATTCAATATATGTAATGAGTATATTTTGTTATATTGTCTTAAATTACTAAAAATAACAAATTTTAAAGATGTTTTCAATATTCACTGCATTTCAGGTTAGAATTAGTTACTTGCATACAGATTGTCTAATATTACTTAAGAAAAGGCAAGATCCACATTAAGACAGCCCCCAAGGGGTTCCCCGATTGGAGAGGGTGCAGGCTGGGCTGAGAAAACATACCCACCCCACCACCCCCATACACAAATTTTGTGCACCAGGCCACTAGTATGTATTAAAAGAAAGACAAATGTGAAGTGTTTTCTGCTGTTTTGTTTACAATGCATCAGGGAAAACACTTGTAAATTAGTCATTTCAATACCCTGTGCAAAGTCCTACAATGTTATAATGCTGAGGTTATCAAAGATTGAATACACAGGAGTCTCCTGACTGGCCTCAGCTCTGGTATTCAGAAACGACTTAATCAATGAGTCTTAAGGCTAGGTACTAATCAAGAAGACAGGAAAGGGGATATCAGATGTAACAGGAAAATAAGCGAACAGAGAGACTGGGATTAGCACAATGTTTACAGAAAACTGACACTGGGTTTAGCAATTCTAGCAAATTAAAGCTTGACAATAAGAAATTAAATAACTAGACTTGGCAAGGGGGTAGTAGAATGTATCATCCTGTAAGATACATAATGCCTAACCATTATGCTGTATACCTGAATTCAACTGTAATTTAAAAAAAATTTTTTTAAAGTGAAATAGAAGTTGGAGAAATGTTAGATCATGTAAAGAGGGGTGAGAGTGATTATGTTCCTCTAAGGGAACATATATAATGCGTATAGATATTTTTGCTTGTCACAAATGGGGGCTTGCTTACTGGTATCTCTGGTAGAAGTGTCAGGATGTCATTACACAGGAAAACAAGGCCTTCCTCCCCCCTCCCTCCCCCCCGGGCCCAAAGAATTATCCCAACTGAAATATCAGTAGAAGTTGATTTTATATCTTGCTTACAAAGTCTGGCTTTATCCTGTTGGCCAGGATTTCTTTATCTGGGAATCTATTAGATAAATTTTTCTATCTACGTACCAGCTTTCACTTGTAAATCTTCATAGCAAGGAAAATTCTGCTCACAATGCACCATTAGCAATTGCTTATACACAGTCATTGGATTTAAGAACTGAGCGGGTGAAGCTTTAAGCCTTTTAAGATGAAACTTGATATAGATTCTTCTACAGAATGTAAATGGAATTAATCTTTGAAAACTTGGCTATGTTAATCTTTATGCAACTTTTCTTTTCCCCCACTGTATTTATTATTATTTTTTTTAACCTTAAGGATTTCGTTTTTCCAATCTCTAATCCAAGATTGTATCCCAGGTCCTAACACGAAAACCGCCATATATCACTCCTTCCCCCATTGTTAAGATCAAATCATTAAGTAGCAGGATTCAAACAGGCCAGATTCTAAAGTCACTATATTTGGTTAACAGAAAATTAATCCACTAATTTAAATCTCTATCATTATTCCCATTTCTAATGCGAATTTCAAATGGGAATAATGATAGAGATTTAAATTAGTGGATTAATCATACTGTAAAGTGGATTAATCATACTGTAAATACTTACCATGTGAAGCCTCTCAACTAGCTTTTGATCCCCAAGGCAATTGTTTGTATCAAACCAGGAATCAAAGTCCTAGATTAACAAACAAAACATATGCTAAAATCAGAGATGATATTACAAATATCCTATTATGCTAGCTATAGCACTGATTTCTGGAACTGTTCAATATTTGAGTTGTGAACCACAAAAACCATTCAGTTTTAATCCTCTATTTTTCATAGGTGCAATACTGTTAGCAAGTAACGTTATAACTAGTTTGAAAATCATATTATTTCCAAACATTTTTTTTAAAAAAACACCAAGATGACAATTTTCAGTGAAAATAGTTGGAAAGCATGTTTTACAGAAATAACTAGGAAATTAACATTCTTGAAATATAGCCTCTGCTTCAGAAAAGCTTCAAAATTAAAATCGCTTTACAGTTTGTTCTCTAAAACCACAAAGACTGTGGTTAGGCAGTTAGAGGAGCAGAGCAAGGATGATGGGACAGGTACAAAAGGTCACCAGGGTATAGGACCTCATCCCCCCGGTCATCTTTCTTCCCCCTAGCATATGCCTAGTCATGGGATTGGCACTCTAAACTTTTATCCCTAGAGATAACATCTAGGACTCAGTTGTATTTCAGCTCCAGGAACAGAAAAGCAGCATAACCAGACAAGCAACATCATGGTCGAGGAGGACCTCAGGAACAGTTGCACTGAATAATGACCTCCCCGCCCTGGTGCCTACCCTGAAAGAACAGACTTGGAAAACTGCTGAATATTCATTCTTCTGAGCTCTTTCCCTGTCACCTCCCCTAAAACCCTTAGGAGTGTTGAAAAGAAGGCTAATTCTATTACAATAAAATGTATAACTCTTTTAAATAAAAGCATTATTCGTCCAACCAGAGAACAATTAGAAATACTTACATCAGCTGAATTAAAGACATCTGGCAACAAAAAATTAAGAAGTGACCAGAGCTCATGCAAGTTGTTTTGAAGAGGTGTTCCAGTTAGTAATAGTCGATTTGTAGTCTTGAATTCTCTCACTATTTCTGACAACTAAAAGAACCAAGATCATCATTAGTATATTCTGCATGTTGATCAAATAATAGCACAAATGATTTTCACATCTAAATATCATTACCTTGGATTTTTCATTTTTGATCCTATGAGCTTCATCTATAACTAAGTACCTCCAATTGAATTTTTTGAAAACAGACTTCTCTTTAATAAGCATTTCATAAGATGTTACACATACATCCCATTCTCCTGGTAATAAAACATCTCTGACAAAAGCAGCCTGTGTAGCAAGACAAAAAAAAAAAAGTCATCTAGAACCAGCTTTCTTATCACTAAAGTTAACTTCATTAATCAGTTAAGTGTCGAAGCCATTTAGTAAAAAACAACTGACAATACTAATCAGTGCAAAATTCAACAAACTAACTCTTAAAATGTTTTCTTTCTCAGATTACACTAGGTCCTGAAATTCTTAGGAGACAGGTTTAAGAAAAAGGGGGATGGGCCTGACATACAGAAAGACAGTGGACTAAAGGATAGTTTGCAGTAAGCATTTCCATGCCTTTCATGTTTATGGAATGTAGTAATACATTGTTATTACTATTCTCATTTTACAAGTAAGGAAAGTGAAGCAAATAGCAGTTAAACAATTGGGCTCTAAAACCTAAAAACCAATTTAGTAACTTAAAATACTCAAAGTACCATGTTTTCTCGAAAATAAGACATCCACCGAAAATAAGACCTAGCGCAACTTTGGGAGAAAAAATTAATATAAGACACTGTCTTATTTTCGGGGAAACGGTACTTATAAAGGGAGGGGGGAGAAAAAAATCAATAATAATCACTGATAACCAAATAAAGGGAAAACAAAATTAATTAAGTATATAATCTTTCAGTACAGGTTGAGTAAATTTTTAAATCTAAAGTTTATATTTTTAACAGTATTATTTCCATTTCTTCTAAAAGGATGTGTCAATTGATAAACATTTTAATTTTATTTCTATAGCTATAATACCAACTAACCAAATTACTATAACTGACTTAGTCCATTTTTAAAAAATTACTATTTTATGACTATTAACATTATATGCTCCAATACAAACAACTGACTCCTTACATTTCCAACCACCTCACACACTTAACTTTTTAAAAAAACAAGAAAATGCTTTTAGAATGAGAGTACAGCCTTTGATTTTATATAATCACCCCCCACAGCAGGAAAAACAACTATATTCTCATAGCTCTCTATAGTCCATAGATCCTTTCTCCCAATATGATTTTTAACCCCCAAGGCAATACTACATTTGTAAATTACTAATATTTGTAAAGACCAAGTTTATTATAGATGTCTGCTCTTTTACCCTTCCTCTATCTATTCCCTCTGCACCAAATCTAAATTCAAATTCTTTTGATATCAAAAATACTAGAAACTTACTCTTTGTTCTTTATCTCCTATTAAACAAACAGATCTAAGTGTTGGTACCCATCTCTTGAATTCACTCATCCAGTTGTGTAATGTAGACTTAGGAACCAAAACCATGTGAGGGCCAGGAATGTTCCTATAGTGTTTCATATATCCAAGAAGAGAAATTGTTTGAAGAGTCTTTCCCAAGCCCTAAAAGATTTCAAAATAACCACAAAGTAATTAAAAACAACAATAAAAAACAACTTCCATATTTATACTTTCTGACATATACATTTAAAAGAAAAGCTATGTTTTTAATAGCTAACGAATGGCAAAGGTTTGATATGTGTCAAGTTTATGATTGTTATGTCATTTAATCTTTACAAGTCTATGAAAGAGGTCATCAAACAGAGCTACGGAAACACATTTCTTTTGACTCCATACTTTCTCCAAATAAGTAAATGTTTTATCACTATAGGTATATGGAAATGATTTTAAACATTCACTTCATAACTAGTAAGGAAACAATAAATCAAATGTTTTATGAGATGGAACTGCACAACTACCCCCCTGGAAAAAACATTTATTAATGATAAATTAAACATTTAATGACCTCACCTGTTTTCTACAGAAGTGGGGAGAAATGGCAAAATCATTACATTACAAAAGTCAACCAAAAAGCATATTTCTCAAAATATACTTTTTAAAGTATTACTTTCATAGATAATAATTCCTCACAACTGAAATATAGATCCCACTATATGCAACAAAAAGAAGCTGCTTATATCAGTTTGTCGGTGAATTAGTTTGCTCAAGTTCCATATGGTAATAAAAAAAAATATGTTATACTGTCTTTACTTTTACAAACATAATGGTATAAATTTAAAATTACAAAATAAAACCTTCTAAAAAACTACCAAACACATACCATTTCATCTGCAAGGATACCATTGATTCCATTCTCATACAAAGAAATGAGCCAATTCAATCCCCGAACTTGATAATCTCTCAGTTTACCCCACTTTACATCTAAAAACAAAAAACACAATGCACATTTTCAAGACAAGAAATATAGGCAGTACCCTGCATCTGATACTCATAAGTTTAACTTGGGCCTACATGTCTTTACTTTTTCTTTACTAGATTTTAGTATGGGAAATTTGAAAGTTCCAATTTTGCAAATCCCTGGAGGCAGTGGCTGTGGTCTTGAGTGAAGCAGGAATAGATGGGTAGGAAAGATAACCAGCTGTAGGAATACCCACCCCAATCACTTTGTTCCTGTGCTACTTATGTATTTGGTCCTGGAGGCTCTTATTTCCTTTTTTAATGTCATCACAAGTGTTTCTAACCAAGTATCTTTACCTTTCATGATGATCCAAATAGAGGTTCTCAGAGGATTTTATTTTCCTAACTAAGGGAAAATAGGAACTAAAAAGACTGCTTTTCTTTTAACTTTTTAAGTTACTTTTCCAATAGTTCCTACAAAGAAATACTATCGCCCTGGCTGGATGGCATAGCTCTTTGGAGTATCATCTCACACACCAAAAGGTTGCAGGTTCAATCCCCGGTCAGGGCACTAATGAGAGGCAACTGATCAACGTTTCTTTCTCACATCGATGAAATGTCTGTCTCTCCCTCTCCCTCTCTCCCTCTCTCTCTCTCTCTCCCCCTTCACCCTCACCTTCCTGTCACTCTAAAATCAATAAAGATATCCTCAGGTGAGGATAAAAAAAAAAAAGAGAGACAGACAATCTCTCAGGGTTTACCATATATCCCTCCCCTATTACCAAGTTATATATATATGTATATATGTTTGTGTGTGTGTGTGTGTGTGTGTGTGTGTGTGTGTATCAATCACCTGATTTAAAAAAAAAAATTAGTACATTCAGTACCCCCATCCTCTTTCGAGAAACACTATTTCAGGCTAACCAATGTTAAATGTAGGAATGTGAGAAAGAAATAACCCAAATAATTCAATTTCCTACTCTCTTATACCACACAACTGTCTCTGGCCTCTAGCTTCATGAAAAGAAATGAAAACTGGGTACTCTATAAACCCCTCTTAAAAAGTGAAAGTACACACTACATTTATAAAAAAAAAAAAGAAATTCAGCAATTTAATATATTTTATTGATTTTTTTAGAGAGGAAGAGAGAGGGGAAGAAAGTTAGAAACATCAATGAAAGAGAAACATCAATCAGCTGCCTCCTGCACACCCCCTATTGGGAATGTGCCTGCAACCAAGGTACATGCCCTTGATGAAATCGAACCTCGGACCCTTGAATCTGCAGGCTGATGCTTTATTCACTGAGGCAAACCAATTAGGGCAATTGCTGAATTTCTAACCAGATCTTGTCTTGCCTCAAATTCAATTTTGAAAGAATTCAAGTTAATAACAATAAAAATAAAACAAATCCAAACAGCATATCCTATATTGAAATATATATATGAAAATACTTATAAAATTCTTTTTTTTTTTTTTTGCTACAACTACTGTGATCATACAAACAAGACAAAAGAAGGAGAGAGGGGGGAATACAAGGCAAATTATAAACCAGTAAAATTTAAAAGCTAGTTAACCATGTTTTCTTTTGGAAAACCATTAATAACTTATTTCAGAAAAAAATTTAAAATAAATTAATACAAAACCAAAAGATGAATAAGCAAAAGTCTTCAAGTGCCTTCTTTTACATATTAGTTTTCTTATCTGGGACAAAAATATAAGGCAAAAACTATTTCTAGTGTTACATGTTCATTTAGGCAACAATTAACACAATGGCATTTTATGCCCCTTTGAAATTAGCACCTCTATCACAATATACTATCATTTCCATTTAAAAAAATCTGAAGTTTATTTCATGAGTAAATTTCAAAAGACTACTAAACATTCCCTTTAAAAATTCTAGCCAAGACAAATTCAAAACATTAACCAAAGGATGTCTGAAAAGGGTTTTTTTCAGCCTAGCCAATTTGGCTCTGTAATAGAGCACTGGCCAGAGGACTAAAAGGTCCCGGGTTTGAATCAGGTCAAGGGTATGTACCTTGGTCCTGGCCAGGGCACATACAGTAAGCAACCAATCAATGTGTCTTTCACATCAATGTTTCTCTCTCTCTTTCCCTCCTTTCCACTCTCTCTAAAAATCAATGGAAAAATATTCTCAGTGAGAATTAACAAAACAAAAAAAGGGGGGGGGCGCTGTTTCTAAACATCAAGGAATTAAGTTTGTGATACATACATGAAGGAGAGTCTTCAAATCGAGTACAAACATTAGTTGCTTTGGAGCTTTCTGTCAATAGTTCTTCATCCTCCTCTTGCTCGGTTCTACGGTGTCTATAGCTATTAAGTTTAAAATAAAACAAAGCGTTATGAGTTTTGGCTGTAATTTTAACTAGATGCAACTATTTCAACGTTAACAATTAAGTTGGCTGGCCAAACCGGTTTGGCTCAATGGATAGAACGTCGGCTTGGGGACTGAAGGGTCCCGGGTTCAATTCCGGTCAAGGGCAATTACCTTGGTTCGGGCATATCCCCAGTAGAGGGTGTGCAAGAGGCAGCTGATCGATGACTCTCTCTCATCGATGTTTCTAACTCTCTCTCTCTCTCTCTCTCTCTCTCTCTCTCCCTTACTCTTTGTACAAAATCAATAAAATATAATAATAAAAAAAAAAACCAATTAAGTTGGCTGACCAAGACCCCATAACAATTAAGAATAGTATTTAAGTGAACAATAGAAATATTAAGTAAATTTAAACTGAAAATGTTTTACACAGTTTTCTAAAATATGAAATTGTTAAAACAAAGTAGTACCTTGAGTTAACCAGAACCGATAAACTTAAATGTTTTAATTTATTTTCAAGGAAATATGTAGTCAGTTAAACCTCATAATTTGTATTTCAAATTTTTATGTATTTTTGTCAGAAAAAAGTAGTTCCAAAAATCACATTTTTAAAACTATAATTTTCACCCAAAGCTGCAGAATATGCAGAATAGACACATAGAAACTTAAGCAATGACTCTCAACTACAGATTCATCAGAATTACTCAAAGCTTTTTGGATGTACAACCCCAGATTCAATATCCCAAGAGTCAGATACATCCCCTTTTCAAACTAATTTCCTTAATTCATAATATTGCCAGATTTCTTAAGCCCTAAAAGGGCTTAAGAAATTAAGTAAATTTTAGGTTAGCAAAACTAATTACTCCCCAATTCTGAAGCATACAATTTTATACCTTTATACTTCCAAATGTTTTTACTTAAATTAGAAAATTGCATATTATGCCACTATTATGACCTCTAAATCTAATTTACAGATTAATTTCTAACAAGGGAAGAGAAGAAATCTATTAACTGAAAGTGCCCTTTCCCTAATAGCCTTAACAAGTAGACCAAGGTAAGTAATTTTATATTTACTACAGAATACCTAAATCTCATCTTAATAGAAGTGTTTTTCATGACACCATATTTACTACTCTATTACATATCCATTATAGTTCATATTTCTAGAGGATGAGACCGATGCCACTTAAACAGCTGCAAACTTAAGTCTGAAACAATTTAAATACATTTGAAGTATAAAGTTCTCTCTTTTGAAGTTGTATAATTATTAAAACAATAGCATTCTGGTTATATACAATGGATAAGGAACAAAATATATTAGATGAGTGGAAAATTCAGATAAAATTAGGTTTTATGCTTATGGTTTCTGATGATAATCCCTTCAAGACAGAGATCATATTTCCCGTATTTCTGTAAATTGTATATTAAGTTTAAGATGGTGGATAAAGTTTGTAACTTCCTCTTTTAGATAACCTTGAGTATTTCCATTCCTTACTTATCACATTTCATTTTTCATACAACCATCTAGGGAGCTGAGATTGCCCTATATCTATTAATTATTACTAATTAAACATCTTAGTTATCCAACTAGTACAAAAATTCTAAAGTGAAATTAATAAATTCAACATAAGAGTTATTTCACACTGAGCAATACTTTGATACATCAATTATGTAAAGACAAGTAAGCATGTAACAAAAATTTTAAACAAATTGCTGTGACAAAAATCGTAATATTCCACAGACCAGCAAAAACTTAACCTCTGCATTTGTTTCCTCTCCAAGGAATGACATAAAATTTGAATTCCCTACTCAATATAGTTGTTGTAATCCTCAAACAGTATAATGCTATAAAAAATTAAGGCATTATAAAGGTATTTTTAAAAAATTTATACATCTATGACTATATCCTGTCCAAACCAATGGGGGCCAAATAAATAGCAGAACTATAACAATTTTTTTAATGAAATGAATTTAAGCTTCTAAGGAAGATTATAAAAAATAAATCTGAGTCCAACTATGAAGTATAAACCATTACTCACTCGCCAACTGATAGCAAATTCTGTTTTTCATCCTTTTTTATTCGTGGGCGCCCTGGTTTCATCTTCAAAGGTGAGGTTGGAGTCTTCTGAGCAGCAGGCTGAATGAAATGTGCAAACAGCTCTGTCTGCTTTAATAAATACTCAAATCTATTTGCTCTGTCAGTTTGCTGCAAAAAACATTAAAGATCCATTTTGTCAGAATATTAATATAACTTCAGGAATCAAAGTTTTAACATGTCTCCATACAATGAACACAGCAATAAAAAGAAACAAACTACTGATACATACAACAACATAGATTCGTTTTGAAGCTTTAGGCTACATAAAAGAAACCAATCACATGACAATATATATACTGTATGACTCTACTTTTAAAAAATTCTAACTAATGATAGAACGCAGATCTGAAGTAGCAAGAGGAAGAGAGCAGGAGCAAACTTTTTTGAGATGATGGAACTGTTTTACATCATAATTGTAGTGGTGGTTAAATGACTACAAATGTGTGCCAAAACTTACTGAATTAAGAACTTAAAATTGTTCTGTAAAATTATACTTCAACAGAGCTGACCAAAAATAGCAAATGCAAAATTAAAAGACATAATGTAATATAAGTGAATTTATTCAGAAGTGGAGAAAAAGGCATTCGTCATTCATCAGTTAGGTTGTGCCAGTCTGATGAATTAACACGTTAAGCGCCCAAAGCCACCAGTGACTATACTTTCCATCTGGAAGACAAAACAGGCTGGGCACTTAACATGCTAAAAAGGTATCAAGCATGAAAAACACGTATTAAGTTAATTATTCATTAACCCAATGCAGTAGTTAATACTATTTCTTCCTTTCATATCTAACATCTGTCACTTCCTTTTTTTTTTTTTTTTCTAATATATTTTATTGATTTTTTACAGAGAGGAAGGGAGAGAGATAAAGAGCTAGAAAATCGATGAGAGAAACATTGACCAGCTGCCTCTTGCACACCCCCCACCAGGGATGTACCCTCAACCAAGGTACATGCCCTTGACCGGAATTGAACCTGGGACCTTTCAGTCTGCAGACCGAAGCTCTACCACTGAGCCAAACCGGTTTCGGCGATCTGTCACTTTCAATAGTCCCTAGTGTCACACCGAGAATGAAAGAATTTGAACAGAAAAATTTAAGATCATTGAAATCAAGTTTTTATAAAAATAAACAATGAAATCTGGAGTCATTAGACAACAGACCCTTTACAGACACACTAGTATTCTGGTTTTAAAAAGGGGATATAGGCAAATAAAATACAAGAGCCCTAGCAGGTTTGGCTCAGTGGATGTAGTGTCCACCTATGGACTGAAGGGTCCTGGGTTCAATTCCTGTCAAGGGCACATGGACAAGTTGTGGGCTTGATCCCCATTGGGGGGTATGCAGGAAGCAAGCTGATCAATAATTATCTCTTATCATTGATCTTTCTATATATCTCCTTCTCCCTTCCTTCTCTGAAATCAATAAAAACACATTTAAAAAAAATAAAAATAAATACAAAGGGGAAACAAGAGCAACAAATAGAGAAACCAGTTTTGTTTTGTTTTAATATCAGTTTTACAATGAATTACAAAGACATTTTACCTAGCAAGCAAACACTAGAGACATCCATATACCACAGCGTTGTAAAAGCTATGTAATTTTTTTTTAAAGATCACATCAATATAAAAACCGAAGGCCAATTTGCTATCAGCAAGGCACATAGTGAGAATCTTTCGTTAAGTCAAAAAATGAAATTTCTTAATTCATATACAATCGAAGAAAAGCCAAGTACATACAACTAGAAGATACTGAGTCTAAAAAAAACACTACTCAATTATTGTAATTGTTTGGAATCAAGAGAAATATGCCCTGGAAATAAATTTAGATGAGTTAAAACTTAGCCATTTTAAGATAAAAACTATTTTACATTATTCAAATCACTGAATAAGTATTCTTCACTTCTTTTGCATATCTTAAGTAGCTGTTCAATTCAACAAACAATTTTGTGTGTCTATCAGAAAAGGTACTTTGTCTCTTTATGAAGTTTTCATTATAGTGTTAACACTATCAGAGGTATTAAATGCTCAGAGGTAAAATGGTTGAAGGCATTTGGGTTACAAATAAATACAGCATTTGAAAACCAATGATAAGAATAAAAAATGTCTAAGAAGAAATGTTCAGAAAGTAATGAAGAAAAGTAAAGTAAATAGGATAGCAGCAAAGACAAAAGGCTCTCTCAAGGCAAGTAAAAATTTCTGAGGCATGGTTAACAATGTTAAAGTCAAGTGAGATCAAGAAGAATGAAACTAAAATTAAGCTACAGAAATGGCAATTAGAATCACTAACATGGCGTTAATAACAGAATCTAAATTGTGACAGTTAAAGGAATGAGTGGAAAAGTAGAGCTGGCAACTATCTCTTTTTCTTTAAATAAGTTTGACAACAAATAAAGGAGATGGGACAGATACAAGTACACACATACTTAAATTTAATGCTTTTTTTAAGTACTGGTTAAGTGACATACAATAAAAGTTTCCTAGAGCATATGAAATGTGACCTGGGTCTTTTAAGGATTCAATTATAACATCATGTCCTCCTTTGTAAAGATCCCATGCATACCGAATGCTATGAGCAATGAGCTTATATTCTTTTACTTAATAACAGTATCTCTGGTCTTTATTTAACTCATGTCACTGATGCTAAATTTTAAAATAAAGGGGGTTTTACTATAATCCATATAATTACATAGTATTATGTGAATGCATGTAAGACTTCTGTATTTGCTCTATATGGGCAAATAAGATACAAGTTACAGAATCCCATGGTATACATTTCAATTGGCTATCTATGCCTAAATTATAAAAACAGAACTGAAGTTGGGTATAGTTAATCACTTAATAAAAAGTTATTATTATAGACTCCATTCATATAACCTAGAACATACCATTTTTTCTTCATAGGTTGGATCTGGTTCCTGGATTTCTTTTTGCTTTCCAGGAGATGCATCATCAAATACTCCCTGGTAGGAGGGAAAAATCGTGGATTGTTTTTCAAAAATAGTCAACAAACCATTATTAGATAATTTCTGCCCCAAACACATTTTAAGTAATATATTCTTGTCCCAAACTTCCTAGATAATTAAATGGCTATTAGTAACCTTCTAGGAAAACTTGATGGGATGAAACACCAAAATGATACAACCAATACATTAACCCATATGTGTAAACAGCATAGATACTGACAAGAATAAAACAAAGATTATTATCTACAACATTCGAGAACAAAATTATCTTCAGCAAATCTGTTTCTTTTTCTAATAAAAAATTAAGAAATCAAGTTAAACAGTATAAAAAGTGAAAAAGTTTCCTTTTACAGTCAAACTTCAATTCTCGAACATCTCCCATCCTGAACAAATCCTTCTCAACTTGACAACCCTTTCATGCTTATATCTGAATGACCAATAATGCATCTCTCAGGCAAAATGACCAGTTACGCCTCTCTCAGGGCTCTGGGGTGAGGGACAGGGCCTGAGGTTCCCCCATCAAGCCCTACAGGGTGGGGAGCTCCGCCTGAGATCCCTGGCCCTGGCCAGGCGCCATGCACCTCAGGTCCCTGCTATTCGGTCCTGATGTTACAGTGTTGCAGCTAACTTGCATATTCCTCTATTATATATATAAGTGGGGGGAAATGCTTCAGTTTTCGAACAGCCTTCTGAAACGAATTAAGTTCAAGAAACAAGGTTCTACTGTAATCATAAAATTGCAGTATCAGCTATGCTACTATACAAATGTACACATGGGAAGTGGTATTATTTAGTCACTCTGGTTTCCACCTTGTAGAATATTGCAAAAAAATTTTCATGTTGTCTAAATTGAACAGTCTGATTTCTAAATTGGTAATAAATGTGCTCCTCTTATAAATGTATTCATCCTGATATTAAAAGTGCCATAAACCACATTAAGAAAATACAGTAATAACTTCTACACTGCAAAGTTCCAATCATCTATTTTAAAAACAACACAAGGCCCAGCCCATGTTGCTCAATGGTTGAGCATCCACCTATGAACCACAGTTGAGAGTACAAGCCTGGGTTGTGGGCTCAATCCCCAGCAGGCACAGTGCAATAGGCAGTAAATAGATGTGATGTTTCTTATAGATGTTCCTCCCTCCCCTCTCTCTCTAAAACTCAATAAAAGCATATTTAAAAATAAAAAACTATTTCTGGGAAAGTCAGCATTGTCAGAAAAAAAAAAAAAACCTGCTTTATATTCTACATTCAAAAATGAAAAGGGCATAATTTTTTTTTCAACTGTGAAACATTATTGTCAGGAATTATAACAAACACATTTATGCTAAAACCTGGTTTTTACCACTAAACCTCAATGATTTCTAAATTCAGTTTTAAAAAAATACCGAAGGTACATTTATTTTAAAAGACACACACACAGCCAAGACCGGTTTGGCTCAATGGATAGAGCGTCGGCTTGGGGACTGAAAGGTCCCGGGTTCGATTTAGGTCAAGGGCATGTACCTTGGTTGCGGGCATATCCCCAGTAGGGGGTGTGCAAGAGGCAGCTGGTGGATGACTCTCTCTCATCGATGTTTCTAGCTCTCTATCTCTCTCCCTTCCTCTCTGTACAAAATAATAAAATATATATTTTTTAAAAAAAAGACACACACAAAAAAATCACACTATAATATAAAAAAACAATTAGTGAAAGACTAATAAAAAATTAGTAATATTCCTATACTGAGAAGTTAGAAATAACTAAGTCATTCTTCAGTAAATAAAATTAACTATCTTTACTAAAAGAATATGACAGGACACATGTTGGAAAAGTGTCAGTTTCAGAGCCAGACCAAGATTCTATGACAGGTTCTATTTTCCCATTGGGCAAAGGAAAAAAAAAAACACTGATTTTATATGGTAGTTGTTATCTGATCAATATTCATACTAACTTTAATTCAACTTTAAAAACAGCAACTAAAAATACGTAGCTTAGGCTTTAAATTACTATTTTCTGATGTTTAAGTAAGATCTCTAGTGAGAGACATTTGTTATTTCAAAATTTGAATGACAGATCCTCTTGAAAAGCTAATGAAGACTATAAATATCATTGTAAAGACTTGCTCATTTATTTTTTTTAAATATATTTTATTGATTTTGTACAGAGAGAAAGGGAGAGAAATAGTTAGAAACATCGATGAGAGTCATTGATCAGCTGCCTCTTGCACACCCTCTACTGGGGATATGCCCACAACCAAGGTACATGCCCTTGAACGGAATCGAACCTGGGACCTTTCAGTCCCCAAGCCGATGCTCTATCCATTGAGCCAAACCGGTTTCGGCAAGACTTGCTCATTTAGACACTATTTCAGGGTCACAGATTTTCAACCCCCCTTAAGCCATGGAGCAGATTAAACAGCCCTCGTAATCCAAAAGAACCATTTAAAACCTTAAAGGGGGGGGGGGGGGGCATCAATAGATAAGAATTTGAGGCAGCTAAGACCGGTTTGGCTCGGTGGATAGAGCATCGGCCTGCGGACTGAAAGGTCCCGGTTTCGATTCTGGTCAAGGGCATGTACCTTGGTTGCGGGCACATCCCCAGTGGGGGGTGTGCAGGAGGCAGCTGGTCGATGATTCTCCCTCGTCGATGTTTCTAGCTCTCTATCCCTCTCCTTTCCTCTCTGTAAAAAAAAATCAGTAATATATATATATATATATATATATATATATATTACTGATTTTTTATATATATATAATATATATATATATAATTATTTATATATATATATATTTATATATATATATATAATTTGAAAACTACATAATATCATGTGTCCAATTCCATTAAAACCTACCAAACCACTAAAAGTTCTTTTTAAAATAACACATCCCTCGCCAGTATGACTTAGTGGATAGAGCGTCCGCCTGTGGACCAAAGGGTTCCGATTTGCTTCTGGTCAAGGGCATGCAACTCGGTTGCAGGCTCTGCCCTGGCCTGGGCCCCGGTCAGGGCGCGTGCAGGAGACAACCAATCGATGTGATTCTCTTCCTCTCTCTCTAAAAATCGATGAAAAAAATATCCTCGGGTGAGGATTAATAAAACAAAAACTAGTAACACGACGTTACTCCACCCCAAACTGAACCTCTGGTGACCCAATGAACTATTGCGCCAAATGCTTCCAATGGTAAATCGCGCTACCGGTTCCTTACTGTGTCAACTCTGCAGCAAGGTTCATTTTAAAGAACAGCATTACCTTCATGCTGTCTATCCGAGGATGGGAAAAATCCCAGAAATCTTTGGGCTTAAAGCCTACACAGACTGAAGGCCAAGAATAAAATTTGGAAGAAGCACTTTGTTCCCAGACATCGCACAACCTTGGAGCACACCCAAGAGACCCGCCTGGCGCTCCCTAATCTTTCTGCCCCCTCCCCCCCCTTTTCCTCCGCCAACCCCCCACAGGACTCTCATCATCCCCGGGCCACCCAACCCAGAGGACAGGCTCAGCAAAGCTGTACCAACCTCTCGCCCCCAACCCGCCCAAAAAAGGCTAAGGCCCCAAAGGAGGAACTGAGCTGGATTGAAAGCCAACCCAACCGACCCTGACCTACTAATTCATTCCCCCACCCATCCACTCCCCCTGCACATTAGACTGGGGGTTCAAGACAGCTGCCACTGCTCCGTCGTCTCCCTCCCTAAGGGGAACAGAGCCTGGGAGGGGCCACCATCTCCTCCACCGGGGCAGCTGCGCCTCGCTCATCCCCACTGCGCCCTGGGCCCTCCAGCTCTCGCCATTGTTTTCTCCCCAGAAAGAACAGACACCGCCCCCGCAGGAGCCGGGATTAAGAAAAAAGAGGCCCAAATCCGACGATGCGCTGCGTTTAAACGCACCGCTCCCCCCCCCCCCCCGACTCGGCTTCCACCCCTCACTTCCAAGGGGACGCGCTCTCACCCTCCCCCCAAGTTTAGTGAAACTAAAAACCCCGATTCCGAGATAGGGACGGAAGGGTGGAAGTCCTGGGGCAAACAAACGGGAAGGTCCCCCTCTCCGCCTCAGTAACCAAGAACATCTGTTTCCTAAGAGTCTTGGAAGATTTGGCAAGATTCGCTTTAAAAAAAAAATTTTTTTTTAAATGTGAACTGCCAAAAAGCTACAGCCCACCCGGCAGGTTAGGCATAGAAGGTGCAAGCATCATCATCATCCCAGGTCCAAAGGCCTGCGGCCGAGTTTGGGTGCAGAGGGTCCGATCGCTAACACGCGCGCAGGGCACCAGCTCCTCCTCTGCCCGCTGTGCCCCCTCCCGGGGCCACACACACACACACACACACACACACACACACACACACACTCACCTCCATCTCCGAGTCCGCGGGGCCGGCGCCGGCCGCGGAGGGAGCCGCCGGGGCCGCGCCGCCCTCGGGGCCGCCTTTGTTGCTGCTGCCGCTCCCGCTGCTGCTAGCGGCGGCCGGCGCTGCGGGCTTGGGAGGCGCGCTCTCGGGAGGCGGGGGCGGCGGAGGCTCGGCCGCGGACGACATGATGTTCCGTGTGCGTCACCCGCAGCCGCTGGGGGCCAGGCGCCGCGGGGAGGAGGCGGAGGCCGCGGCCTGGCTGGCTACGTCGCAGAAGAATAACGGGAGGGGACGAGCAGGCACCCCGAGTGCCCCGTGCGTGCGCCGGGAGCCGCGGGGAAGCCGAGCCCAGCGCCGCTCTCGCCGTCCTCCGCTTCCGCCGGGCTGTGGTTCTGCCGCGGCTGACCTCACGGCGGGAATCACGTCGACGGGGATGGGCGGGGCCACCGGGTCACGGAGGTCAGGAAAGGCGGGCTGGTTCACGGGAGGGTGGAGAGTGGAGCGAAAGGGGAAAAGAAAGCCAAAAAAACGACCGAGGCGAGAAAACTGACTCGTCGCGTCGCCTTCCTGGGTCGAGATCACCGATCTCGCCGGGATCCAGAACACTTACCTATGCCGCTGACTTTCAACCCTCGCGAGATTGATAGTTGGCGAAGTGACTGGATTCCGAAGGCGCATGCGCATTCTCCGAGCCGTCCTCGTGGCCACGCCCCCTCCGGGGGGAGTGGGCGGGGCCTCGATGCGGAGCGTGGCGGCTTAGGTTTAGGTTTGTGTGTTGGATCCGTGAGTTGGACGCGAGCGCGGGCTTCCACGTGTTCTTAACCGCCCGGTGCCCTCCGCCGTGGTGTCTTCTTGTCCCTGCGGCGCTCGCTGAGAACTCGCCCAGCTTTGGTGCCGCCTGATGAAACTTGGATGACTGCGCTGGCCTTAACCCTTATCCTGCCTCCTCCTACTGGTGTGACGTCACGGCGTGACGACATTATGGTTATCCCAAGGGACGGTTCAGTTTTTGTTGTGGAGGAAAAAGTACCCATTAGTGTGATTTTTTTATTTTTAGTTTTTACGTTATTTATGTCAGTTATATTTAAATACATTCTATTTACCCTCGATTCACACTTAGATGATATTTCCTCTTAATTTATAAGCTAAAAGTAAGCAAATTAAGTGCAGGCTACCTTAAGTGCACGAATAACCAATAGATAAGGAAGAGAGGCCATGGTTGGTAGCTTTTCCTCAACCATAACATATTAAATAAAAGTTTACATTGTTCTCAAGAACAGATAATCAGCATTAATTATTTGCACAGTCTTAGGCGCCTTCAGCACAGTCTAAGGACCTTGTGCCTCCTAGATTCCAGTGCAGACTACAGAACTTATTACCTGTGTGAATGCAGATGTTATACAGCTTATTTAAATCAGTTTTCTCATCTTTTTATTATTACAATCATACCTCATACCTCAAATAAATTGTCAGTTCAGGCCAGAGAGCCACCATAGATTGATTATTGCAATAAAATAAGTCAGACATATTTTTGGGTTTCCCAGTGCATATAAAAGCTTTGTTTACAGGGTACTGTAGTCTGTTAAGTCTGCAATAGTATTATGTCTAAAAAAAAAAATTACATGCCTTAATTGTGAAATACTTTCTTGTTAAAAAAAAATGCTAACCATCATCTGAGCCTTAAACAAGTTATCAGCAGAGGGTCTAGCCTCAATGTTATGGCTGTTAACTGATCAGAGGGGTGACACTGAAGGTTGGGGTGGCTCTGGGAATTTCTTAAAATAAGCCATCAATAAACTTCAATGAAGTTTGCCCATCAATTGACTCTTCCTTTCAAGAATGATTGCATGTGGTGCTTTTTAATAACATTTTACCCACAGTAGAACTTTTTTCAAAGAACTTTCCATCTTCTCAAACCCTGCTGCTGTTGTATCAATTAAGTTTATGTAATAGTCATGTAATATTCATTATTATAAATGTAACAATAGTGAAAAGTGAAATACTGTGAAAAATACCAAACTGTTACATAGAGGCCTGAAGTGAGTAAATGTTGGGAAAATGGCACTGAAAACTTTCTGCATACAGGCTTGTCACAAACTCTCAATTAAAAATTAAAAATAAAGCCGAAGCCGGTTTGGCTCAGTGGTAGAGCGTCGGTCTGCAGACTGAAAGGTCCCAGATTCGATTCCGGTCAAGGGCATGTACCTTAATTGTGGGCACATCCCCAGTAGGCGGTGTGCAAGAGGCAGCTGGTCGATGTTTCTCTCTCATCGACGTTTCTAGCGCTCTATCTCTCTCCCTTTCTCTCTGTTAAAAATCAATAAAATATATTTTTAAAAAATTAAAAATAAAAACCCTGCAGTATCTGTAAAGCACAATAAAGTGAAGTGCAATGAACATATGCCTGTATATTATCCCAACTTTATGTTGGATAATATTATTATAATAATGTCATAAGAATTAAATAAGATAGTGCATGTAGGGTGTTTACTAAGGCACCCAACATATAGTGAGCTCTGGATTCAAGTGTTAAATATTCTTGTCACAAAGAATCATCAGCATAAAAGTTAGAAAGTAGTTGGAGGAAGGGGAATCTAATGGTTTTTTAATAAGGAGGGAGGGTAAAGGGGAATAGTGTCAAAACAACACTACCAGGGGTTAGTGCTTTAAGCATGATCTCAGAAATAGAATGTTACAATGTAAAACCATGTTAGTGTTCTATCTCAAATTGCAAATACTTATGTTTATGCCTAGAATTCTTTTCATTAGATTTAGTGTGCTAGAACAAACAGCATGTGCTCTACTGAATAAGTACAAATGGGGGGTGGGGGGAAGAGATATTGCCAGAGAACAAAAGATGCCAAAGAGCCAGGACTGTCTCAGCATTTTGTCCTTGAATGGTAACAGAAAGGAGTGAAGTTAATCAAGGACAGAGTAGGAATGCTGGGCCTCTCTTCATTGCATGGTTATTGTGTTTTGTGAAAGCCTAGGAAAATAAAGGTTGGTTATTACATTGCAACAATAAAACAGTATTGATCTGCATCTAAGAATGGGAATGAACAACACTGGATATCGATGATCACATATATGTATCTTTTTCAGAATTCTTCTAAGTAGGTTATTTGCCATGTAAATGGATTTCAATTAAAGAAAAACATTTTCTTAATAAATAAGTAAGGCTTAAATACATTCCCTTCATAATTGGTCACCAAATGACATCAATGGATGAATTAGTACCTGTTGAATGTGTGTGTGTATGGATATATGTGTGTGTATATCACTTAGTGTTGCCTTTCCTTACTCTTTATAACTTAAAAGTTCAAGTTCTCTCTGAATTTCCTTCCTGCTTTTTAAAAACATTTTCTTCTTTAGTTCTTAGACTAAATAATCCTAGGAATCCAAATATGATCCGAAGTTAAATTTTAACTATCATCAACTCTGAAATATTTTCAAAAGAACTAACCATAGCCAAAGCTATGATTAAGAAATTTGGGTTTGCCTTTGTTCAACTGATTGAAACTAAGAAGATGGAAAAGATATACCTCAAATCTTATTTTTTTAAAAAGCAGGAGTGGCTATATTATTATCAGATAAAGTAGACTTCAGAACAAAGAAAATTAAAAAGAGGAACATTTTATAATGATGAAAGTGTCAATCCACCAAGAAAACATAAAATTTCAAAATGTGTATGCACCAAACAACAGAGCTGCAAAATATGCAAAGCAAAAACTAGCAGCCCAACCGGTGTTGCTCAGTGATTGAGCCTTGACCTAGGAACCAGGAGGTCTTGGTTCCATTTCCAGGCAGGGCACATGCCTGGGCTATGGAATCAGTCCCCAGTGTGAGGTGCTCAGGAGGTAGCTGATCAATGATTCTCACTCATCATTGATGTTTCTATTTTTCCGTCTTCCTTCCTTTATGAAATCAGTAAAAATATATTTTTAAAAAACCGGACAGACTGAAACAAGAAACAACAAATCTACAATTATTGGTGAAAACTACAGCATCTCTCGGTAATTGGTAGAATAATGAGGCAGAAATTCAGAAATTCATCAAGGATGCAAATTCAGCAAGGATGGGCATAAGAACTCACCAACCAACAGAATCTAATTTATAGAACACTCCACAAAAAGAGAAGTATATATGCTCTTTTGAAGAATCCACCAAAAATACACCAGGATAGACCATAAAACAAACCTAAACAAATATAAAGGAATTAAAATAATACAGTGTAAATAATAATAATAATAATAATAATAATAATAATATAGTGTGTCCTTCAACCACAGTTGAATCAAACTAGAAGTTAATAACTAAAAGTTTCAAGGAATGTCTTAAAATTAATACACTTCTAAATAATTTATGGGTCAAAGAGGAGGTCTCAAGACAAAAGTACATTGAACTCAATGAAAATGCAATATATTAAAATGTATGAAACAAAACTAAAACAGTGCTCAGAGGGAAATTACATTTTTTTTAAAAAAGGGTAGAGGAATCAACTCCAATCTAAGCTTTCATCTCAGAAGCATAGAAAAAGATTAATCCAAAGTAAGCAAAAGGAAGGAAATAATAAAGGTAAGAGTTGAGATCAATGAAATTGAAAACAAAGGAACATAGAAAAAATAAAATAAAATAGAGAACTGGCTTTTTGAAAAGATAAAATTGACAAATTTCTGGGAAAACTGACAAAAACACAAATCACTAATATAATATTAAGAATGAAACAGATCTATCACTACAGAATCTGAAAACATTGAAAGGATAAGGGAATACTACAAACAATAATTTGACAAATGAAATAGACCATTTCTTGAAAAATACCACCCTAACTCAAACAATGTAATATAAATCATTTTAATAGCTCTATAACTACTTAGGAAGTTAAATTCATCACTTAAAAACTCCCCCAAAGCAAAAGCAGGTTTGGCTCAATGTATAGAGCGTTGGCCTGCAGACTGAAGGATCTGTTACTGAATGTGCTTATTTTGCCACTCTGAGACACTTTATTTTATTTTATTTTATTTTATTTTTATGGTTGAATATATAACATTTTATTCTCTTTTTTAGCTTTATTTTTATTGTTTACAGATGTCCCCCATTTCTATCTATTAATACTTTTGCCCACCTCCCACCCAAACCTGCTCCCCCCACACCTTTGTGGTGAGACATTTTATTAAGGATATGTA